GGCAGGATTTCTTAGTCCCCACATAGCCCTGTTTAATCTGAGATGTTCATAAGAACCCAACAAAAGCTTCTACTGCCAACCTACAGGGGTGGGGCTCGAGTTGCCCTGAAGATCATTAAGAATGTGGAGAAGTACAAAGAAGCAGCTCGACTTGAAATCAATGTGCTGGAGAAAATCAATGAGAAGGACCCTGACAACAAGAAGTAAGCAAGCAAAGGAGTATATAGGGAGACTGACTGGCTCTACCCCTACACAGGAGAGACTCCCAGACCTGGTTGAGGCAAACAGAGGAGTCCTAGACTTTCTCATCCATTCATCTTTTGTTCATCATCTTAGAGTAGTAGAATATCAGGGTAGGAAGACAGGGTCTGTGACATTGTTCTTTGTTTTCAGGGCAGTTAGACTGCTCTGTGGTTTGACCTCAGCCCAGGATGGCTTCTGTAGAGATGTACCCTGGAAATGGCCCTAGGACTGAGCATCAACATTTTCATCAAAAAAATGAGTTAAGCTTTTATACTTAGAACTACCCTGGTGAGGCCACAGGCATTTAAATAGTAATAGTTTGTTTACATACATTTACAGGCCAAAAATAGAATAAAGGCATTAAGCAAAGACATAAAGGACAGTAGGTATAAACATGTGGCCAGCGGTGGCTGATGGTGAGTAAATTTCAGGAGTTAGGCTGAGGTTGGGGTTTAGGAGTGACAGTTTGATGATTCAGGATTCACACTATTTGGAGCTTGGTGTGCAACAACTCTTCAGTAAATGGTTTTTTTGAATTACTTAAAATGTTGCAGGAGAATGTTTTGAAGCTTGGCAGGTAGAACCTTTCTTCTTGGGTCTGGCAAAAAGGCCATTTCCTAGCTGAACTGAATTTTGTTGGTGATACTAGTTGGCATGTTTCTATGCAAGTTTGTGGAATCAACAGTTATGCAGTCCCTCCTTATAGGAGGGGTGGTGGACAGATGGAAGCTCATCAGAGACCCCCTTCCCCCATCTCTCTTCCCAGCCTCTGTGTCCAGATGTTTGACTGGTTTGACTACCATGGCCACATGTGTATCTCCTTTGAGCTTCTGGGCCTTAGCACCTTCGATTTCCTCAAAGACAACAACTACCTGCCCTACCCTATCCACCAAGTGCGCCACATGGCCTTCCAGCTGTGCCAGGCCGTCAAGTGTGAGTGGGGTGGGCTGACGTGGACTCTGGGGAAGCCCCTCCCTTCATTGGATCTCTTCTGTCTCACTTGTATGTTGGTGAAGCACCTCCCTCTGGCCCCCTTTCTTATCTGCAATTCTTTATTATCATCTCAATATCTCTTCTGACTTAACTCTTTGATGGCTTCATTGACACTGATTGCTCTTACCCTATACCCAACCTAGCAGGAGCTAAAAGAGAAAGCCTTTGGAATCAAAACATTTAATTACCTTCTTTTTCCTTCTCTCCCCTTCTTGGGAGAGCATCAGTCAGACAGCAAACATAAAAGACAAAAAGACACTCATTAGGCAAGGGGTTTACATTTGTCTGAGATGAGATGTTCTTTATTTATAGTAAAGCAGATGGAAACATGGAGTAGTTCAGCTAAGGGGCCAGGTAGGGGATTCAGACAAATACATCCTTCCTCTCAAGTCTTCAAGACTATGCAGTTTCACGGAATGTCAGATACATCTATGATAAAATGTTACATACTACAACCCAAAGCAAATCTCTTTTTGTAAAATATCAGTAGAGATACATATGTATCTTACATTAGAGCAGGGCTTTTTAGACCAGGCATTTCATTTAGATACAGAGCAGAAAGCAACCCTGGTGATTCTGGACTTGCCTCTTAACTAGTTTTGCTCTAGATAATCAAACCGGGGGTCAGCTGGTGCCAGTTAGCTCTGGCCACCTGGACCAAGCCTGACCTGACCTTCTCCCTTGCAGTCCTCCATGATAACAAGCTGACACATACGGACCTCAAACCTGAGAATATTCTGTTTGTGAATTCAGACTACGAGCTCACCTACAACCTAGAGAAGGTAAGATGGATAGGGTCTGTCCCTTGGCCAAAAGGAGCAGGCAGTTGGGCCGCTTTGACTTCTGTGTAGCCCTTTCTGTCCTCCCTTTTATTTATTTCGCTCACATTTTCTCCCTCTGGCTCCAGAGTACTAGAATAGGCTACGAGGGAGAGATTTAAGAAGACTTAAATTGATAGAGAACTCGGACAAGGGACCTCAGATAACTTTCCAATAGAGTGAAAATGTTCTTCATGTTCTCAGATTGGATTTTCTTCTTTTCTTAGATGTATATTCCTGTGAGAGAAAAGCTGACTCACTTAACTAACTGGAGATAATACAGATCTCAGCTAAAGCTCTCCTTCCCTTGAACCCCTTTGCTACATGTTAAATATTTTCAGAAAAACTGTACACTCAACACTTGGATATAGTCTTCAGAAACTTACAGATGTGCACACCATTCCATAATCACTCCTTAATCCTCTTGCTCCCCCCTCCTAAAGTACTCTGCTGGATGTGAGGGAGGCTATAAAAATGGAAATTTCCCAGGGCAGCCAGGAGGTCAGAGTTGCTGTTTTAAGGCTCAGAAGCACTTTCAAGAATAGCGGTGGAATCTCTGAGGTGCAGAGGTCATTCTCTTCCCTCTTTGCTCCTAGAAGCGAGATGAGCGCAGCGTGAAGAGCACAGCTGTGCGGGTGGTAGACTTTGGCAGTGCCACCTTTGACCATGAGCACCATAGTACCATTGTGTCCACTCGCCATTACCGAGCACCAGAGGTCATCCTTGGTAAGGGAGGGCAAGACTGTCTAAGTGTGCGAGGTGATGTGGTGAGTGTGGGACCCTTTAAGCCTCATAACACCTTTTCCCTCCCATTCCCACCCAGAGTTGGGCTGGTCACAGCCTTGCGACGTGTGGAGCATAGGCTGCATCATCTTTGAGTACTATGTTGGCTTCACCCTCTTTCAGGTGAGTGGTGCGATGTCTTATTTGACCACCTGGCATTCCTCTATCTGATTCCTTTGTCTGCTAAGGACCTGCCTGCTGACTTCACGTTGCCCATCTTCCTGGCAGCTAGTCCTCAGCATCCCCTTCTCAGTCCATGCTCAGTTCTGACTTTGTTTTCCAGACCCATGACAATAGAGAGCATCTAGCTATGATGGAAAGGATTTTGGGTCCTATCCCTTCCCGGATGATCCGAAAGACAAGGTGAATATTGCATGGGAGGGACTTAAATCTTTTTTTATCTCCACAAAATTAGTCTATTTCACATCATTTTCTTTTTTCTTTGACACCACCTCTCCCCCCCACCCCCAGTTACTCTTAGATGCGAAAATAAGGGAATTATAATGAGGGAACTGTTCTGATTCCTCAACCTCCCCTTCCCCTCTAGAAAACAGAAATATTTTTACCGTGGTCGCCTGGATTGGGATGAGAACACATCAGCTGGGCGCTACGTTCGTGAGAACTGCAAACCACTGCGGGTGAGCTGGGCTGGGAATAAATGGTGCCCATCACCCAGAGGTCACTTCCTTCTTAAGGTGGTTTGCCCTTGGACACACTGCACAAGCAGAGGGTTAGGAAAGGACGGGAGAAAAACTGAAAGAAGACATCTTTGGTCAACAGAGGAGAGATAAGAGGGAGTGGTTTTGTGGAGGGAAGGTTAGACAGCCTAACCTTAAGACAACCAGAGATCAAAGCAATGTCCTGGATTCTTTAGGTCAGACAGAAAAGAATAAACTACCTTTGAAGAGCTAACATTTTAATGAGGAGCTAAAGAAGATTCATGAAGTTGACAAGGATATACAAGTAGAACTTTCAAAGAGTATGAAGGAGTAATTGTGCTAGTGGGAAGGTAGGTTGAGCTGTAATATCAGAAACATTGGTCATGGTGTGGTCGTGGTGAGGTAGCATATTGGTTGCAAGCAAAGCCTTGGTTCTCCGAGATTGAAAGGTAGGGCCTTGAAGAAGAAGAAGGTAGAGTTTGTAAGGCAGCTGGCCTCACCTTTTTCCTGCCCTCCTCCACCAGCGGTATCTGACCTCAGAGGCAGAGGAACACCACCAGCTCTTCGATCTGATTGAAAGCATGCTAGAGTATGAACCTGCGAAGCGGCTGACCTTGGGTGAAGCCCTTCAGCATCCTTTCTTCGCCCGCCTTCGGGCTGAGCCACCCAACACCAAGTTGTGGGACTCGAGTCGGGATATCAGTCGGTGACGATCAGGCACTGGGCCCCCCTGCATCTCTTACAGCAGTGGGTGTCCAGTCCAGGACACTGGTGCTTTTTTATACAAGAGAATAGAGCCAGAGCTCACTCCTTCCCCCTGGCTCTCTATATACTTGTGAATATGTGAAATAGTGTAAATATGACAGAACTTGTACCTGTCACTTCAACCCCTGCCTTGTACATAATGCTATTCCATCCACACTCTCCACCCTCATCTGCCCCCTCACATGGAGCTGGATGGGGGCAGAGTGAGGTAACCAGGTGGCATCTACCCCATGTTTTATAAGGAATTTTGTACAGTCTTTGTGAAATAAAATGACGTGCTTCATCTGACCCCCACCCCTGGAGTTTGAGGTTTGGGGAAGTTGGGGTGGTGGGATGAGAGATTGACAACCTTTGTGAATTTGGATATGAAGTCCTTACCCTTCAAAATTAGCCCAAGCCAGGCCACCAGTTTACCTGTCCATGCTATCTTAGGAGAGGGTAGTACTGGGTGTGGCCATTTTTCTTGCATGTTAGAGAAGAGCCATAAGGTGCTAGGTCTCTGATTTGGAGTGTTGGGAAAGAGCTGCTTGCTATAGCCTATGAGCTGTGCCCGGGACAAAACCGGAAACCCCAGTAGAAAACTTTTATCAATTGCTCTTCGGTGGGGCCGCCTCCAGCCGCCTGAAGGCTCCCGTCGTCCACCTCGGGAGACTGGGAAGGCGGGTTCCGACGCGGGGCCTGCTGGGAAATGTAGTCCGTTGCTGGAGGGGTGTCACGTGAAGGTGCAGCACTTGGCTGTGGGGACTGGATAAGGGGTGTCACGTGAGAGCACTTCCGTCTTTGCTTTTGGCCAAGACGCAGGCGCAACCCGCGGCTGCTGCGGGGAGCCTAGTGGCCCTTCCGGTTGCCACGGCCAATCGGAGCACAGAGGAGCGGGGCGGACCGAGACGAGCGGAGGGAGCTCGGAGGGCTGCCGCTGCCGCCACAGCCGCGGCAGGGGCGTGGAGGGCGGGGGGCGGCTGTGACCGCGCTTGCAAACATGGCTCAGAGCAGAGACGGCGGAAACCCGTTCGCCGAGCCCGGCGAGCTTGACAACCCCTTTCAGGTGACTTGCGCCGGCCTCCTTTGGGAGAACGGGTTGATGCTTCCCAGTTTTGTAGAAGGGTTTGGCTAACTTGTATTTACACTCGTGACATTTGGTCCTAGGAAGAGCCACCACGTGGGGGGGTGACAGTCACTCCAGAGCAGTGAGCACCCCGGGGGGCGGGTCATGCCCCTGACGGGACTGGTGTTAGCAGTGTAGGAGGGTGGATATGAGGTAAATGTTGGGACAACCGCGTGGTTCCAAAGGTGCATTAGAGCCACGATCAATTTGGGTGAGGACCTTGGGAGTTCCTCCAGGAGGCACCAGGTGCCAGCTAAGCCCCAAGTCTCTGCCCTCAGGACCCAGCTGTGATCCAGCACCGACCGAGCCCACAGTATGCCACGCTTGACGTCTACAACCCCTTTGAGACCCGGGAGGTGAGCTTCTGGAGAGCACAAGGCAGGGAGGGGAGGGTTTTCAATGAGCCCAGTCTGTCTGGGTTCAGGGGACTTTTCTGCATGAAGAAGAAGGAAGAGGCACCAGTTGGCCATGGGATGCCTAACCCTCCTAGGGATACTAGGGCTAATGACCCATCCTGTTGGAGCTGTAAAAGACAGTTCTGGGAGGACCTGGAGTCTTGCAGGTCCTGAACTAAGGCTGTGTCTGGGAAGTCTTCCTTGAAGAAAATAAAGGTTGGGGCTAGTTGGAGTTGAGGTTAGGTGTGCAGATTGAAGGCCAGGAACAAGGAGAACTACACCTGTTTGTTCCATTAGAAGAGAAAGTGGTGAGTTTTAAGAAGTTAGTAGGTTCTTACAGTCTTAAAACTTACTTTAGGCCAGGGACTACAATCCCAGCACTTTGGGAGGCAGAGGCGAGAGAACTGTCTGAGTCTAGGGGCTCGAGACCAGCCTGGGCAACTTGGCAAGACCTTGTTTATACAATAAATTTTAAAATTGATGGTATCTTTCATCCATGCCAGTTGTGGCATGGTTTCCTTTTTTTTTTAATTTCTTTTTTTTTCTAAGAAGCTTTGTAACAAAAATTAAAAATTAATTGGGTTTGGTGGCACATGCCTGTAGTTCCAGCTACTTGGAAGACTGAAGTGGAAGGATCACCTGAGTCCAGCAGGTTGAGGCTG